TAGCAGTAATTTTACGACGATATTGACAACAGTCACGATAAGGAAAATAGTTTTGATATATATAATGGGGGTAGAAATGTTTTCAGCCTTGTGTCACTTTCTGAAACAATGAAAGATTTAAGGAAGGAAGACAATGGAGTTATGGAGACAAAGAATTCCGCGGGGAAAGGGGGAGGGAGTGCAAGGAGGGAATGGAAAAGAAGAGAGAAAGAAGTGAGAAGGCAGGAGAGAAGAGAGAATGAAGAAGGGTACAGTAAGAAATGAGGTTGTGGAGGGAAAGCAAGAGAGGTTAGAAGTATTGAAGGAAGGGAAGTAAGAAATGAAACGAGGGTGGGCGGTGGAGAAGAGGTAAAGGGAAATAGAAATGTGAGGAAAATAAATGGAAGAAGGGGAGGGAAGCAAAGGGGGATTTTAGGAAAGTTAGAACATGGGGAGAGAGAAGGTTAAGAATGGAGGAGTGAGGTAGGAAAGAATGATTAGCATGAAGCAGAACGGAAAGAGAAAATTGATAAATATAGGTGACAAGATAAATCAAAATCAGAGGCAGAGAATAGAAGGAAGATGAACTGGAATGATAGGAAGAGAAACACGAGCCACCAGGAAAGAAAATTCCAAGAATAAAAGACGAACAGAGAGGAAAGGTAAGGTGGGAAGAAGGAAAATAGGAAAGGGGTCATATTCTCCCATGAAACTCTGTTCCTTTGAGGCTGTCGGCGTCCCTCTGGAGGATTCTTTCAAGGTACGTCCCATGTATATAATTTTTGGGCGAAACTATTCTACTTTATTTATCCTCTCTCTCTCTTCTGAATATATATATATATATATATATATATATATATATATATATATATATATATGTGTGTGTGTGTGTGTGTGTGTGTGTGTGTGTGTGTGTGTGTATTGTATATATATATATATATATATATATATATATATATATATATATATATAATATATATACATATACATACATACAAATGAGTGTGTCTTTGTGCATGTGTATGTATGTATGCACGCACACACACACACACACACACACACACACACACCACACAACAACACACACACCACATACACACAAACACACACACACACACATACATACATACATATATATGATATATATATATAGTATATATTATATACAATATATGTGTGTGTGTTACATATATTTACGTTGTGTATATGTATATACATATGTATGCATATGTATGTATGCACGCGCGCGCGCGCCACACACACACAACACACACACACACACACACACACACACACACATACACACAAACATCACACACACACACATACATATATATGATGAAACTGATCCAAGCTGTAATAATATTTTTATTTCAAACGTTTCAAAGACAAGTACGTGTCTTCATCTTCAGTGCTACAAAAAGAAGAAATAACAAACATTAGAGCCGGACAAGGCACAAAAACAAATGGTTCAGAAATTATAATATATACCAAAAAGCAAACAAAGAAAAATCAACGAAAAACTATGGAAATATATACAAAAGAAAGGACAGGCAAAACACACACCGAATGGTAAAATTGGCAGTTACGGTCACTTGATTATAAAATAAATAGCTGTGTAGCTGTGCTATGGTTGTTGGGCTGTGGTCTCATCTTATGGATATACAAAGATTCTGAAATCAGGAGGTCGGTCTGTTGGAGATGAGACAGAATTTTGAAAATCATTGTGAGCGTTGGGATGGTCTTCCGTGTGTGTGTTGGCGAATAGCAGAGAACAGCTTAGGGCAATTAACACACACACACACACACAACACACACACACACACACACACACACACACACCACACACACACACACATATATATATATATATATATATAATATATATATTATATATATAATATAATGCTTGAAGCAAGATTGGAAAGAGACTCTCTCTTCTGAGAGAAAGTATTAATAGTGTAATTATTTCGTGAAGACTATATTAAATCGTTATCTGGGGAATGAATCTTTGAGCAACTCACTATATATATATATATATAATATATATATATATATATATATATATATATATATATATATATATATATATATATATATATATAATGCTTGAGCACAGATTTGAGGAAAGGGACTCTCTCTTCTTAAGAAAAGTATTAATAGTGTAATTATTCGTGAAGACTATATTAAATCGTTATCTGGGGAATGAATCTTTGAGCAACTCACGTAACTGTTTTCTAACTGAATAACTCGTCCGAGATAAGGTAGTTTAATATGTTTAATTTGTTTGGGAACAAAGGCAAGTTTCAAAGGCTGGCACAGCTTATTGTTTAAAAATAATCTCAGGGTTTTCTGAAACAAAGTGCCTGGGTACCCATTAGTTTCAAAGTAATTTAACAAAAGCTTCATTTCCAAATCAAACAGTGCCTAAAGGTGCTGTCACACTAGCAATTTTTCCGTAAATTTTTTGACAATTTTCTGATTTTTTTCCATTTTTTAGCGAATTGTCGATTTTCCAGTC